AGTCAAAGTCTTTAATACGGAATCGTCGGGACTTCGGCGATTCCGGATTATAGATCATCAGTTTAAATCTGGTAAGATGGCGTGCAGAAATTATAAAATTAAAAATATGAAACCGTAATTTATGAAATAAAGAGCAATTATGATCTAAAGGGTATCAAAAATTAAAAAAAAAAAAAAAAAAAAAAAAAAAAAAAAAAAAAAAAAAAAAAAAAAAAAAAAAAAAAAAAAAAAAAAAAAAACAAAAAAAAAAAAAAAAAAAAGCTTAATATTTATTTGCTTACTTTATTGACAGATCAACTTCCAGTTCATTGTGTGCCGCGACGCCCCCCCCTTTCGCACAGCAGCGTGAAAATCATAAACAGATTTCAGAAAGGTTAGAGAAACAAAGGATATACCTTTATCCATTTTTTGCAGCAATTCCACTTTTTGTTTGATGGACATCGAAAAATACTTTTGCTTTTTAGATCCTTTGGCAGCTCCAGCATCAGAAATTCTATTTGACATAATCGAAAGTTCAAGCTTACTTTTATAAAATTGCTCTAACAATCTGCAAAAAATAATAAGCCGGATCCAATTCGAAGATTAAGGAACAACGCAATCTGCAACATTAACTGAAATAGACAATTTTAGCTTAGCTTATACCATCAGCTATACATTAAACGCGAACGAGCACACGCATAAAAGTATTACGCGCATGCGTGAACGCATTATTCGTTGACGCATGCGCAGAAAGTTTGTAGTTTTGAGGTCCGGATTATAGATCATTCCAGATTATGGGTGCCCGGATTAACAACTTTCGACTGTAATTTCTAAAGGTACAATTACACAATAATGAAATAAATATTAAAAGTAGTCTAAACAGAAGATTGCTCCTAAGAATCACACAGTCTTTGGCAAAAAAAGTAATTAATTTAATATCCAAAAAACATCTACATAAAAGATGAACCAACCATCACAGCACAGTAAGTGTCATAACTGTTAGTCATACATATGGCATTTATGCTAAATTTGATGCTTGGGCAATTTTTGATGATGATAAAAAATTACTTTTATTAAACAAAAACAAGGAAAATTAGCACATTTGGCCAGGTTATGAATTTTTCAATTAATTACTTTGTTATGAGCAGAGAGTTTCATTAGTTTTTGGGGGGCTGCCCCCCCAAAAAAATGATGAAATATACAGCAGGACTATCAATTAGTTCACACTGGTAGAATTTAGTAGTAGTTTGATTAGTATTTATAAAGATTCTCTAGCATTGCACAGCTGTGGAAAATTTACAAACGATTTTATAGCTTGTTAGAAATTAATGTTAAGTTGTATAAGCACTAGGATGTAATCCACATACTTGGAGTAACAATAAGTAATTCTGAAAAATATCAAGACTTCTTCTGTTACTTTTTTAAGTTCTGTAAAATCTAAAAATAATGATAATAAATAGTTTAGTTGTATTTTCTTTTAAATTTTACTTGACAGTTTCTACTGAATGAAGAGTATAGTCCAAAATTAATCGGAGGGAGAAAATTCAGCTAACAAACAATTAACAAACATACCTTTCTTTTTAAGGTTTCGATATACTTTTAAGAATATAGAAATATACAAAGAGTATTTTTTTTAATTCAAAAAAAGCTGTTTACTTTTTTCCTTAAATAATGGTAGTAAAAAAAGGCAGCAATTCAAATTTTAAAGACAATTTAATATACTTTTTATGATACGGTTTAATATACTTGATATACGGACATTTTTATATAACTTAATTAAATTATTTTAAACTATCTCTGATATTAAAAAGATATATTTACAGAAACAAATGTATATAACTAGCATCAAATTTCTTTCAATAAATACTGCTATTTTGTTGCTATTTGCAGTTTCTCTAAATAGTAGTTTTTAGGTATTACTGCATTACCCATCTAACTATAACAAGAATCATTGGGCAGAAATCTATGTCACCGACGTACACAATTGAGACTTTTACACAAATGTATTTTATCATGCAATTAGAGTGTGCTTTCTTATAACAAACCATAACGCAATGTGGAGTTTGCTGGTAATAAAAAAGAAAGTTATATTTTTTTCAGAAATACGCATTTTGCAAGTAGTTAAGAATGCAGAAATGCGCATTCCATGATTTACAAACGATGAAACTGTTCCAATTATTTCAGGGAATTTGTGTTACGAAGGATAGCAAAAAAACTTGTTTCGAAGAGATTTTAAAGCAGACCGCTGAATAGTATCCACCAGCTATAAAAATCTAAACATTGTCCAGATTGGTTCTCTTTACTATTTTTAAATAATAAAATGTATATAAAATGATGCATTTGGCTAGTTTTCATTTAGCTCAAAAGTAGTTCATGAACTGGTTTTAGGTGATTGTGATAATAGTTTTCTCCGAATAAATGGAATTGCCTGATGGTCTTTTTATGTTAAAAATGTTGATGTGTACATGGAGAGCAGTGCCAAGTTGCTCTGTGATGCCAAGAATTCCAGTTTTTAGCCATACAGTGGTGGCCAAAATTGTGGACCCTTTTGGAAATTTTTATGCTTTTGAAATTTGTATGCTTATAGAAAATGTTACGTTTCGCAAAATGCAAACTTGTATATATCATTTTAAAGATAATTTATTACTGAATTCAATGCAAAACACAGAATTCAATTATTTGCAATACAAAATATGTACTTTAATATAAATAAAAAACACAGTTATGGATTGGTTTGTAATGTCTAGCTTTCCTGGCCAATCACTGTTCTTGTATGAGAACCAATCAAATGTTAGTAACTGCCAGTAGAAGCTGACATCATGTTTACACTTGAAACAATTTATTATTTTTGCTTTGTCTGTAGAAGGAGGACCTGTTTCTTATACACTGCAATTACAAGTAGGAATTTGTAAAAATTTTAATATTTAGTCAAGAGCAAGGCATGACATCAAATAAAAGAGTAGATTGGACACCTAGAAAGGGATGTAATATTATTGCGTTACGAGAAAGTGGTCTTTCCTATGCTGAAATTGCAAAGCAGGTGGATGGTTCAGTGACTACATCTGGAGTCCGAAAGTTTTGTTTACGATGTCAGGAGACAAATTCAATCAATAAAAACAAAGAAGAAAAGGCTGAAAAAGGTGCACCACATTATTGATGACAGAAGAATAAAAAAGACTATGTCTCCAGAAGATAGAAAAATGTCATCAGCGGCCATCAGAAGTGATCTGAATGATGCTGGTGTTTCTGTCAGTTCAAGAACAATCAGGAGAAGATTAACAGATGTTGAACTGAGAGGTAGAATTGCACAAAAAAAGCCTTATCTTAATTTTCAGCAACGAAAAAAAAGACTACAATGGGCAAAGGAACACATTAATTGGACACATGATCAGTGGTCACAAGTTATATGGAATGAAGAAACTAAGATATTGTTATTCGGTAGTGATGGGCGAAAATATGCAAGACGTAGAATAGGAGAAGAGCTACATCCTGACTGCATTCAAGCAACTGTGAAGAACCCAGTTAGTGTTATGATTTGGTCATGCATGTCAGCAGATGGTATTGGTCGCCTTCATGTCATCGATGGTACACTGAATGGCAGAAAAAACATTGACACTATTCTAGAACCAAAACTTCTAATTTCCATCAGAGATCTCTTTCCCAACAATGCTTCGTTTACTTTTCAGCAGGATTCTGCTCCTCGGCACACGGCCAAAATATCGAAAGAGTGGTTTCGTACAAAGAGCATTAAATTGTTGTCATGGCCAGGCAACAGTCCTGACCTCAATCATATCGAAAATTTGTGGCACCGTTTGAAAACTTGTCCGAATGAGGTGCCCATCAAATAAAAGGAACTAATAGAGGCATCATGTAATAACGAAAGTGGTGTGATGTCGATGTGAAGCTGTAATCAAAAATAAAATGTACCCACTAAGTACTGATAACTCACTGCAATCATCACTATCTATTGTATATCGATAACTATGCAATTTCAGTGTTTCTTAATGAATGTTACGTGTATTTTTAGTTTTGTTAATTTATTTTGGTTTTTTGTAATTGTCAGCGTGCTACCAGTTTTTAAAATGCTTAGTGTTTTTTCTTTGTTAGATTGGAAAAAAATTAGTCGTCAACGGCTGGCAACTTTGTGGGAGCATTCGATGGATAATGTGATACAGTCAAAAGTTGTTAATTCAGACACCCATAATCCGGACCTCAAAGCTACAAACTTTCTGCGCATGCGTCGCCTTGACACATGCACGCAAGATTTAATGTATAACGGATGGTATAAGCTAAACTAAAATTATCTAATTATCTATTTCAGTTAATGTTGCAGATTGCGTTGTTCCTTAATCTTCGAATTGGGTCCGGCTTATTATTTTTTGCAGACTGTTAGAGTAATTTTATAAAAAGTAAGCTTGAACTTTTGATTATGTCAAATAGAATTTCCGATGCTAGAGCTCCCAAAGGATCCACGAAGCGACGGTATGTTTCGATGTCCATCATACAAAAAGTGGAATTGCTGCAAAAAATGGATAAAGGCATGAAGAAAGTGACAGAGAGGTTAGTGGAAACGAAAAAATTTCGATTAACAAGTTAGTCGGTATTCTCGGCACAGCAATTACAGGACTTGAACAGCGGAACTTTTTAACTGAACAAGAAATTATGTCTGTTTATATAGAATTAGAGAGAAAGTATTACCACATAAAACAAAGCAACTTAAATAACTTACATTGAAAGAAATGTTTAATAAAGTAAAAAAATAAATATTAAGCTTTTTTTTTTTTTTTTTTTTTTTGTAAATTTCGATACTTTTTAGATCATAATTGTTCTTTATTTCATAAATTACGGTTTCATATTTTTAATTTTATAATTTCTGCATGCCATCTTACCAGATTTAAGCTGATGATCTATATACCGTAATTGCTGAAGTCCCGACGAGTCCGGATTAACGAGTTTTGACTGTAGTACCTTTTGGATATTACTAAACATAATAAATTAAAGTGCTACATATAGAAACTTACCTTAGTAACCATAATAACTACAAATTTCTTTTCATCAATGTCATAATCACTAATTTTCGTATCATCACTAAGAATTTTTCCTGAAAAATAAAGAAATAAAATTACTTTCGAAAATAAAAAACCGTAAAAAATTCTGGCAGAATTCATAGAAATCCAGATCCCTCTTTTAACAGGTTACATTTTACAAAATATTATTTTTACAGCAGAAGCAAATTACACATTCACTTTAGTACGATAATTCTGTTTATGACAAAAATATAACATGTATGAACCCTAATATCAGACATACAGCGACAGCAATATTTTTAAGGTCTATAGCCACTGTAATAAATCCACCGGAGTAGCTTGCATTTCATTATGAGATTATCTAACAGAGAGAATTACTGATAACAGACTAAAGATATTTTAAGACTCGGAGAAAAATGTTCTAATATGACATGAAATTAAAATGATGGGCAAAAATAAGGAAAATGATAATTCTCGTTTTCATTTTTTTTTTAAATGTCTTCGTTTCAAGTAGTATGTATGAACACTAATTGTAGTATCTACAAAATCAGAAGAATGTCTTACAATTTAGTACACCTATAAAGGAGATGGAATAAATGAAATGATGGTTTCGTTAGGTTACATTATTTGAATATGGCAAAGACACACGGGCTATCTGCCTAAGTGGACATATGAAGGAACTTTGTGAAGGACTTTCTGAGAGAAACTGGCTTATATTCATGTTACATACTAGGGAAAACATGAAAACTAACCACTGTTTGCCCAAGTCCAAACATACATGTTGATTGAACTACCAGTATTAAGGGATAACCACCACTCAGACACAGGTGGGGGCTAAGAATGAAATAGTGGCTAACTGGTTATTGACTAAGCACGTAAAACTACCAGCCTTAAGAAGAATGCCTTCATGGAAGACTTTAAATAGAAACTGCAGTCATATTACATAAGGGGAAAATATCCACAAACCACATGTAGCCATTGCCAGTGTATTAGGAATTAAAACCACTTCAATTCAGTTGATGATGAATTAGGAAACCTAGGATGTAACACATTCATTTACATAGGATAGTACAATTTTTTTGGACAACAAAATTAACTTATGATTAAGAAAGAGTTAATTGGTAGGGTAATGCAATAAAGTATTGCACTGGATAGCAAATTCATAATGGCGATCCTGCATATAGCAGGCATTTAGCATTCAATAGTCTTAGCCATTTGGTTACTGGTGATTCTAAAAGTGGAATGAAGACAACACAATAATGAAATAAAAATGAATGATTGTTAATGCATGAAACATTCATGGTACTGCCAATCTAATACAGTCAAAAGTCGTTAATCCGGACTCGTCGGGACTTCGGCGATTCAAGATTATCGATCATCAGTTTAAATCTCATAAGATGGCATGCAGAAATTCTAAAATTAAAAATATGAAACCGTAATTTATGAAATAAAGAACAATTATGATCTAAATGGTATCAATATTTACAAAAAAAAAAAAAAGCTTAATATTTATTTGTTTACTTTAATAAACATTTCTTTCAATGTAAGTTGTTTAAGTTACTTCATTTTTTAGGTGATAATACATTCTCTTTAATTCTATAAACAGACATAATTTCTTGTTCAGTTACAAAGTTCCACTGTTCAAGTCCTATAATTGCTGTGTCGAGAATACCGACTAATTTGTCAATCGAAATTTTTTTGTTTTCAATAACATCTGTCACTTTCTTCGCTATCGGAAGCGAATTATAATGATGAGGAATTTGATTTAAATCATATCAAAGACGGAGTACATCGAGATGAAATACTACATTTAGTAAGGAATTATAAGCAATATAAAATAAAAACATCTGACATGAAGATAAGGATACTGCTGACAGATCAACTTTTAATTCATTGCGCGCTGCGGCGTCCCCCCCGCCACAGAGCAGCGTGAAATTGATAAACAGATTTCGGAATGGTTAAGAAACAAAGGATATGCCTTTATCCATTTTTTGGAGCAATTCCACTTTTTGTTTAATGGACTTCGAAACATACTTTTGCTTTGTAGATCCTTTACATATTAGTAAATATATGTGGCGTTCCGACAGATACTTCAACTTCTATTCATGAGATGGCGCCACGTGTAAAATCCAGTTCTTAATCGGAGCAGCAAATCGACATCTTTACTCACTCAGACTTCTCGTCGGACAAGTGTTCCTACGACGCTAGCACGAATTGTGTTTCCGAGCTCTGTGTTGATCTCTGCAATGTAATTTAAATTGTAATTAGTACTTATATATTCTTTTGTTATAGGAGATTGTCTACTCTTATTTTCTTTAATTATATCATGCATTAAGCACACACAAACACCAAATATATATCAGAAATTCTACTTGACATATTCGAAAGTTCAACTTACTTTTATAAAATTGCTCTCTAACAGTCTGCAAAATAATAAGCCGAATCCAATTCGAAGATTAAGGAACAACGCAATCTGCAACATTAACTGAATTAGATAATTTTAGCTTAGCTTATACCGTCCATTATACATTGAACTGCATTCGTAAACGTATTTTGCGCACACGCATATTTGCAGCCGTAAAGGTCTTACGCACATGCGTCAACACGACGCATGCGCAGAAAGTTTGTAGCTTTGAGGTCCGGATTATGGGTGTCCGAATTAATGACTTTTGACTGTATTAGTCACAATACACATTTCCCCCCCTGCTTCAACACTCTCCATGAACAAATATGAATAATAATCAGTTTATATATTTTTTCTTATGTAATGAAGATAATCTGAAAATTGATATAAAATCAGAATATTGTAACTGAATCTAACCCTAAAAAAGCAGCAACAATACAGGATAATGCTTACCTGCATATATCAGCTTTTGGCAATTTGCAGGAAATTCATTACCTTTATGTGCTTCTATTTTTTCCTTAAATGTTCTAACCTACATGATCAAAGCAATTAGTTCCACATAAGAAAAATTTCCATCATAAAATTTTCCAAATCTTTCCATATATTATCAAACAATAATATAATTAATATCAATATTGGAAAATCAACTCTTTAATCTATTCTATTTTTAATTATTGCTTTATATGCTGGTAAGATTCTCTTATTGAAGACACTAGTTCATAATAAATTCTTAATAAATGAGGCATTTTTTATTTCGTGTCAGTTCCAAATTTTTAAAATCAGGTACACTACCAGAAAAAAAAAAGGGGGGGGGAGTTCTATATTTCCTGTTCTACTGGGTCGATTCATGAAATTCAATTCCCCAAAGCGCGACCTAAGATATGTATTAGATTTATATATAGCGTAGTTCTAATATAGGTATTTTGACACAGAATCGGACTTTTTTCTTAAATGATACGCCAATTTTTTCCATATTTCAATTCTACGACTCAAATTATGCCAAACTGCCATGTTTTGTAAAAATCACATGAGTAGTTTTTAAAAGATTAGCTCTCAAAATTTTAGCTCCTCAATGTTAATTAAATTTGATGTATATTTATTAACATTTTTTTTTTTCTTTGTACTTGATTCTTTTGTCCAAAATTAGGGCTTAATCCCAATGCAATTTGCACATATTTTAAGATTTATTTTTAAAATTTATATTTTTAGATATTTTCCATAAATTTTTTGAAAAAATTTCTACACATTTTACAAAATTTAATATTTAGGCATAATTTGAGTTGAAGAATAGAAATATGGAAAAAAATTGGCATGTCTTTTCAGAAAAATTCTGATTTTGTGACAAAATACCTATATTAGACTAGTGCTTTATATAAATCTAATATATGACCTAAGTCATGTTTTTGAGACATGAAAAATGCAATTTGAATTTTGTTAATTGCCCCAGTAGAACGGGAATTATAGAGCTGTCCCTTTTATTCTTTTGTGCAGTGTACATATATATTAATCAAGAACTCACTATACGGTATTTCTTATTTGTTTAGCTAATTACGACAAACAAATAACAGCTTAAGGGGAGAGAATGCCTTTGTTGAGGATTTTCTAACAGAAATCAGTTCATATTAATATAAAACACAGAGGAGGGAATCCCAGAATTCCTGAACACTCAGCATGCTCATTGGGATTTGAATTCTAGTCAAATATCTTATTAATTCAGCTGCTTGTGGACACTATGATATAGAATTATCTTGGATGATATACATATGAAGGAAGTTCTTATAATCTTAACTGCTAGTTTAATAAAAAGTAAATTACTTTTTTTTAATCACATTTTACATCTGATATCAGAAAATTTACAAAAATATTCCTAAAACAAATTATAGCTTAGTTCACTAAATATTAAAATAAAAGTTTATCTTACAACATATACTTATCTACATTAGTATCTGTTAACTTAGCAACAGACACAGGATGTTTTAAAAGGAAGGAGATAGCTATATTTAGAAATAGGGTACAACTTGGTAGATTACAAATGCTGTGAAATATATCCACATTTATTTACACTTTACTGAGGTATAAAGAAAAATACTTTTTAATTTCTTAGTCCTAAAATGTATACTATAACTGAAAAATATTATAATATTAAGGTTTAATCCTAGTATCCGGTGCACAAGAGACTTGGCTACTTTTGGCGACTTTATGATGAGCAGTAAAAACGGAATGGAACAGCTTTAGTATTGGTCCTTTTGGGCGATATTTTATTTGGTGACAAACTTCGGTCGCCAAGGTAGACCCGGTTTTGAAGATCGGAAAAAAATGACGGATTGTCAACAAACCCGATCTAGACTAAATAACAATCCTAAAAAATAAGCTCTTAATCAGAATAAACAATCTTTCTCTAATTTTCAATATTTCTAGTACTGCTATGATAAATTCTTGAAACACTACTGTGAATGAATTTATAACTTATTATGTATGAGTAATGAAATTTACAAATGTTAATATTTTTAATTACGAAATATAATGTATTAAACATTAATATTTTAAGTAGTTAGTTCATATTTGTATTTATTATATTAGTACTTAGTTAATATTTTTAAATTTACAAAAGGTTAATTTTTATGTTTATGAATAATGAAATTTACAAAAGGTTAATAAATGCTTTCAAACTAGTATATGTTCTTTAGTTTCTTAGATTCTGTTTTAAGAAAAGAAAAAAAAAAAAAATTTTTTTTTACAAAGGTTAATTTTTTGTTTTGAATAATGAAATTTACAAAAGGTTAATAAATGCATTTCAAACTCGAGTATATGTTACTTTAGTTTCTTAGTTCTGTTATTAAAAAAAAAAAAAAAAAAAAAAAAAAAAAAATTTTTTTTACAAAAGGTTAATTTTTATGTTTATGAATAATGAAATTTACAAAGGTTAATAAATGCATTTCAAACTAGTATATGTTACTTTATTTCTTTAATTCTTTAAAAGAAATAAAAAAAATATTTCAAGTGAAGGAAATCAAATTCATTATAATGGGCAAGTTTTGTACCAGTGTTAGAAATATTTTTTATGATTAACTATTGTAAGTGGTAAATATTAAGAAGTGTGTATTTTTTAATCCCTCAATTTATTACAAGTAATTTATGATTATAATTTAAAAGCTAAAATTAAATTATCATAATGAGTAAATTTTGTACCAATGGTAATAATACAACAATCATCGTAAATGATGATTCTGTGAAAATTCGAACAGTCATTGGATTCCCTAGTGGTGGAGTGATAGCCACTGAACAGTGGTAGCTCAGGCTGGCTATGTGGGAGTTTTAGTAGTTTCCCGTAGATGTAATGTGAATCTGAGCCAGTTTCTCTTAAAAAGTACTTTATGTAGGCATCCTTCTTCTGCTAGCCAGCATATGTATTTATTTTCTATTCATAATTCTTCTTATTTCTTAATTCTAAATCTTACTTCTGAAGAGAAGAAGTGTTGCATCTATAGGTCGAAAAATATGGTCAATATGTTTGCAAAATCCTGTCAGTTTTGGAAAGCATTTAAATAAAATAAATAATTTGTATGTGATGCAAACAAAAATGCATTACACTATTTCATGTACTGAATAATTAATCAGGGAACATGTATATTGTAACGTTCCTTTATTTTGTAACCAGAGTTATTTTATGCTTGGGATCTTTACTGTCGATTTCCTCCATCCGTTTTCTCACCAGAATCCAAATGAAGTTTTTTTATTTTGTAAAACAAACCGTGTTTTTGCCTTTTGAGGGCACATTAAGGTTGCTAGATAAGAAAGATTTGTAGTCTTCAGCCTTGCATTATAATTGCTGATAGCTGAATTCCATGCCAGTTAAGAAGTTTTTAACCAACTTTGCTTAATTGATTTGTGCAGCCTTTGGGCTACAAATTTATTTGAATTTAAATTTTACATTTGAACTTAATTGTTATCATAAGTTATCTTGCCACAATGGTTGACTGAGTCGTAGCACAAAGTGTGCCTTCTGTTCTGTACATCTAACTTTATAATAGAATAAAAGTATATCTTAACTTAATAAGAATATATCTAAACTTTATGATAATAACATTTAAAGACATTGAAATCAGTATCTAAGTGCTTGCCATGTAGTCAATTTTTATATATAAATTGTACTCTTATTATAGTTTTTATTACAAAAATTCAGATTTCTGTTAGATAAAATGTTTAAGTAATGTAGAAAATTTTCTTTAAATTTAAATAAAAAGTCGACTGCTATGTCAACATACTATTAATAAAAGTAATAATACTCATGAAGGGTTATTCATATACAGCTGTTAGGTTGTAAGATTTACAAAATTTCAGAACTCTAAATTATAAGCAATATATTCCATATCTATCTAAGCACATTATATTTTTTATAGTCAGACAAATTATGAAAATGTTATAAAGCAATAATGAAACCTGATTTTGGTCCTGATTTGACCTATGAATTATGCAATTAACATCCCTATAGTTCTAATATGAGGTAAATAAGTATTTCTAGACCATGGTAATTTTGATCTCCTTAGCAAGGAAACACCAGAGTTTTACCTTATGCTACTGAAAATGTGTTTTTTTTTTTTTTCCTTGGGGGTTGGAGTTTAGAATAATATGCAGAGTTGACATATGAAAAAATGTCAAACTCATGTGATGTATATTTAAAGTCCAGTTTTAACTATCAAAAATTTGGCTTTTTAAAAACTATTTTAAATGTTGTGCTTTCCTAACACAAAAGTAACTTTAAGAAAAACACACAATTTATCCCTCCTGCCATCAAAGCTCTGATACCTATCAAATTCGTTAAAGTTACGTGGACAGAAATGGCGGCATGTTTGAAGCTCAGTATTTAGGGTTACCAAGGTTATCATAATTTTTCATTTATCCCTCTAAAATGTCGCCAAACAAATTTCTCGCCAAAAAGGACTAATACTAAAGCTGTGCCAACGGAACATATAGAATGAATAGTAAACGAGTTATTCAAAGAATATATATATAGTTATACATAGTATACACTATATAGTTTATACTATGGGTATATAGTGAGAGTATAAAGTGTGTAGTATGTACATAGACGTTCTTTGGGCCATTTTTTGTGCTGCCGATAATTTTCAAAATCGCGCCAAGGCTGCACCGTATACTAGGATTTTACCTAATATTAATTATTTAAGCATAAGTAATAAGGTTATATGACATCAAAATCTCATATGAAAATAAATCAAATACAATGCATATATGCATGACAATACATGATTAACCAAATATACATGAAACATTTATATCTCTAAAGTTAACAATTATATTAGATATTATTAAATAAAAGTTTAACACGTTTTATCTATATTTCGTAGAAAGAAACATATTTACAGAAAAAATCAAAAATGTCTACCATGTATCAATACATTTTTCTTACGCAGCATTAGAATCACTATATTTTATTTTAAATAATTCTGGATATGTTACAAATAATTTATTTCAATGTTAAGAAAACTGTTTTATTGTACAAGATAAATGGATGCAGATTGAAGAAATAAAAGGATATGACTAAGTGAGAAATCTGATTACCAAAATTACACAACATTCATCCTGCTAAAGATTTATTGTGAAGATGTAGATGGTGTGATGGCCTGTCAAAACCTTTCAAATAACCTAATTTTCTGCCAAAACTACTTATTTAAACATATTATAAAGGTTTCATGGGTTTTCCTCTCCCTTTTTTTCATAAAGTTACCTCTCCCCAATTTTATAAGCATTTATTTAATAATTCCAAGTTTTTTTTTTTTCCTTTCAATCCAGGCCACAAGCCTGGCTAAAAGTTTGAATCTAGGGCAGTATCAGTCAACAGACATCTGTACTCTTCAACAGATCTTTTAGGTTCCAGTTGAAATTTTAGTTTTCAAGCCGTTAAATGTTAGGAGGATAAATATTAATTCTGGGATTTGTTTCCCAACTACCAAAACATAAAACTTCCCAATTCAGAATCATCTGATGAGAACAGAATATGCTGACATATTCGTTACATGTTAATGTTTTATATGCCTAGTGAATTAAAAAATAACTATGCAATTTAATATTTATTTAAATCATATTACAAACATGATGACCTACATATCAGAAAAGCGTCATTTAATAAATGCTCCATGGCCTACCACATAAATATAATAGCATCGTTAAATTACAAACATAAATATAAAATTATTAAATATAATTTATATTAAGAAACTGTTACTCAAAACAATTATTTCGTCAGTAATACAATTAGCAACTACTTGAAATTTCAAAATGACATATAGTGAAGATACATTTTAAATTCACAAATATATGCATATTTAAATACAAATAGAACTCAAATATTATAATTAAAAAATAGAACTAAGAACTCTTACTGTGCATATGCTATAAAGAAAATCTAAGCGTAACATAACACTTCTGAATTTCACACGAAAACGTCTTCGTGACAATTCAAATGGCAATTTAAAAATTATTTAACGCTAACCTTTTTAAAACTGATGTAAACAGGAAGTAAAATGCGCAAAGTTCAAAACAAGATTTAATTTTGCTGACAGTCAGAATTTCATTACATGAAAGGGGAAAATGCAAAGTCATAAATTTTCAATGAAAACAAATTATGTAGGTAAGGCATGTGAAGTTAAACTGAAAGGGAATAGGTTTGTTTTTCATTTGGCTTTAAATACAAGGAATAGGAACAATATTTATCCCTTCTCACAAACATGTTTTAACAAAAGATAATTCCATGTGACATATAAAACAAATGGTATTACTAATTACATTATCCTAAATATCACAGACAAACATGCAGTAAGGATTACGCAGCGATTTTCTTTAAAAACCATTATATTTAAGCCTACATACCGACTCAGATTCCTCCACTTCAATTTTAAAAGTCTGCTGTTTTAATGTTTTCAACGTTATAATCATTTTTGTAATTAGTTAGTTTCTGCTTACAAATAAGATAAAATAAGGCGATTTACTTTAAAAAAAGAAAAAAATTTCTGAATCCCTAATATCAGAGTAAGCGTGTTGTCGGCATTGGACTCAAGTTGATGTGACGTCACAGTAGACTTCTGCTTCTTCTACAAATTTTCATCTTTACTTTAACTTTTTATGTGGCCTTTATGTAGCTATTATGTGTTGGCGATTAGGAAAGGATCTGATCGAAACGTAATTATTCGCTAACAAAATATGGCAACTGTGAATGCGTAGAACGAATTTTAAATTGTCACAAATTGTTTGTTTCTAAGTTTTTGTTGTGTGTTTTGTTTACAGAAAGGATTTAAATGAAGTATTTTGTGAGTAATAATGTTTTACACTTTTTTTTACAATATTTCAGGTTTTAGGAAGTATGTCTTTGAAGGCATGGGTATCTAACGATCTTTGATTTTGTAAAATAATATTTTGACAGAATATTTTTTTATTTATAAATGCATGTTATTTACAAATTATTTTGGAAATAACTTTCAGTTAAGTCAGCTAGGAATAAGTTGCTTCGTAGTATTTTACGGTAGCCTTAAACTCTACTGCAATTTTACACTTTAGGTAGCAAAACATCCCATTTATTTATTTCAAACTTATTTATGCATTATTTTATTAAAAAATGTTGATAATAATTTTTTTTGTTTTAATGTTTAGGAAGATACATTTTATTTAACCAAGGTGCTCTAAATTATTGTATTAATTTCAAAACTTCCATGCATTTATATCTGTATAAATGAAGTGAATTCTATCTGTATAAATGAATTATTAATTATTGTATTAATTTCAAAACTTCCATACATTTATATCTGTATAAATGAATTATTAATTATTGTATTAATTTCAAAACTTCCATACATTTATATCTGTATAAAAATATGTAACTATTATTTAATAGTTTTTTTGTAAAGTTAGTACCTTTCAATGGATTTTAAATGTATTAATTAGAATTAGCTGAACAGTATTAATTGTCAACAAATGAAAAAAACAAAAACTTTTGCAATTATCTTTTGATAATACTGAAAATAGGAATATAATAAAATCCATCAGTTCATTAGCAATAAACTGAATGTAGAATATTTATCAAAAAAAAAAAAAAAAAAAAAAAAATCAAATATTTAGGTAGTGTAAAAAAATTGGTTTAATCCTAATGTACGGTACACACCGGATTTAGCGACATTATGAGCAGTAAATACAGTAATTTATGATGAGCAGTAAATGAGTCATTTTGGTGTTGGTAACAATTTTCAAATTGCGCCAAGGCCGTACTGTATACTAAGATTATACCAAAAAATTACATTTGCAAGACAGAAATAATTTTACTGCATCTCATTTGAAATTATACTGGTAAAAAATGGTATTAGTACTTCAGATGACTGAAGCATTTGAAGAGAAGCATTTATTTGGATATCTTTAGGTTTATTTCACTGATGCATCTAATGCCACCTATTTTTTTTTTTTTTTTCATTCTTCTTTTTCCATATAAGATATGCAATGTTCTCGGTTTTTTGCACTGTTGTTCTCGTGTGTTTATCAATCTGTTTTTGCTGTGTACATTAGAGAATTCCACAAACTTGGCACTATACACAAATTCGGTGCCAGAATCCTAAAATGAGAAAAAAAAAAAAAAAAAAAGAGGCGCATAATGCCTTTAAGCCAGTCATGCTTTATGATTGCAGAAAGCTGATTCTGAGATTTCGTTGAAGGTGACAAAAACTGTATTATGCAGTTCACTGCTATGCTAAAACATTAAAATTTCACTAGGAGAGATACATAATCTTCAGTTACATTTGTGAAAATATCCAGAGATGTAGTAAGCCTTGGTTGCCACATAAAGAAAGGATTGTGAGTTGTCATATACAGTCAAAAGTCGTTAATCCGGACTTATCGAGACTTCGGCGATTCCAGATTATCGATTTTTCTGGATTATAGATCATCAGTTTAAATCTGGTAAGATGGCATGCAGAAATTACAAAATTAAAAATATGAAACTGTAATTTATGAAATAAAGAACAATTATGATCTAAAGGGTATCAAAATTTACAAAAAGAAAACAATAATTATATTTAAATAAAACATAATATATAAACTATATAATCTAATAAACAATAATATTTTTGTTTACTTTATTAACATTTCTTTCAATGTAAGTTGTTTAAGTTGCTTCGTTTCATGTGATAATACTTTCTCTTTAGTTCTATTAAACAGACATAATTTCTTGTTTAGTTATAAAGTTCCACTGTTCAAGTCCTGTAATTGCTGTGTTGAGAATACTAATGGTTAATCTTTGGATTATGGTAACTTTATGATTTTTTAGCGAAAATTTGGCAACTAACTCTGCTACAGCAACCCTCTATTTTTTTTTCGCCGCCATTTTGTCTTCACGAAGTAAAGACATGTTTCTTTTCTTTTTATTTACTCAACACTTTCTCCAACAATCTACTAGCCGAATTACACTTACGCTAAAAATTTTATGTAACAAAACTGGGTTTAATCCTAGTATCCGGTGCACACGGGATTTGGCTACTTTTGGCGACTTTATGATGAGCAGTAAAAACGGGATATATACGATGACGGGTAACGTAAACAGGTCATTCAAAGAATATATATAGTTATACATAGTATATACTATGTATATAGTGTATATACAATGTATATACACTACAGTATATACTATGTATATAGTGTATAGTATATATATATATATATATATAGACGTTCTTTAGATCATGTTTGTTGTTGGCGCTAATTTTCAAAATCACGCCAAGGCTGCACCGTATACTAGGATTTTACCCAAAACTGCTCAATCATGACAAATATTAACTGCAAAATTGGGAAAAAGTGCACAATCGCATACTCCTTGCGCGTTTTTCCGAATAGCACATACACATAAACCATTTACACGTCAACTTATTTTTACTTAAAAAAACATCCCAGAATTGCACAAAAATGGCATTGCGCACAATCTTCACTATGTCCATATACACTGCTTTTTTTGTCATAAATTAGAAAATTTCACGAAAATGCATGGAAATTTTGTGAATCTTTGAAGTCGGTAAAAAGGACGTGTATGAAATTACCTGATCGCAAAAAAGTATGTATACTATGCAAGCTTTTATACCTTCAGCTTGCATAAATACCCTTTCCAAAAACTTTTACCTCTAAATTATCTATTATTATAAACGGTCACCAACGAATTTCTACCACAAACATTAAAAATGGTTACAAATACTTAGTATCAAATATTAAATTATTTCCATGCACGTTTACTTCAACTGAAATGTATACCAAATTGCTACAAACATAAAATTCACAAAATAACTATCAGTTATTAAAATATAACTAAACCATGTACACGTCGACTTATTTTTATTTAAAAAAACATCCCAGAATTGCACAAAAATGGCATTGCGCACACTTTTCACTATATCTCCCTGTCCACTGCTTTTTTCTCATAAATTAGAAAAATTTCACGAAAATGCATAAAAATACTCAACGTATCTACTCAGACGTATTCCAAAATACTACGAACATATAACTCACAAAATCACGATCATTAAATTAAAATATAATTAAATTAAAAAACACTACTTAAAATTAAAATAGCACATGCATTAAATTAATAAAAATTAGATTACAATCCTAATTACTTTAAACTAAATCATTGCTAATAACATTTTCCAATAATACCATATTAATTTATTACTCCTTGCATTTAGAACAATGCATAAAAATAATATCCTCAAATAATTAAAATACTAACTTACCTAATCTTCAGAATTTTCATTACGTGGCACGCACACTTCCCTACAGAAAGAGTTCCAATCGGCTGCAGTACTACTGCTAATTTCTAATCCGAAATCCAGTAGTCAACTGGCAGTCTATTCACCCAGTAGAAGAATTAATAAAATTTCACTACTTTTCAGCAAAACCATTACTTCCTTACATCGTTTCACAAAATTTTCATTCACCAGATTTCTTGCACCGCCATTCAAACTTATCTGTAATATCCTTCCTTTCACACAATCTCAACTTATTATTATTATCAGATAAACGTATTAAAAATATAGAATTCACTTTACATAGCGCCATGCAATCTGAAAATTAATCAACACTATTTCACACAACACACAATGAAGCTTAATACAAAATAATACAGTCAAAAGTCGTTAATTCGGAATCGTCGGGACTTCGGTGATTCCGGATTATAGATCATCAGTTTAAATCTGGTAAGATGGCATGCAGAAATTACAAAATTAAAAATATGAAATGTAATTTATGAAATAAAGAACAATTATGATCTAAAGGGTATCGAAATTTACAAAAAATAGCTTAATATTTATTTGTTTACTTTATTAAACATTTCTTTCAATGTAAGTTGCTTCGTTTCATGTGATAATACTTTCTCTTTAATTCTATTAAACAGACATAATTTCTTGTTTAGTTACAAAGTTCCGCTGTTCAAGTCCTATAATTTGCTGTGTTGAGAATACCGACTAATTTGTCAATCGAAATGTTTTCGTTTTCAGTAACCTCTGGGTCACTTTCTTCACTATCAGAAGTGAATTATAATGACGAGGAACTTGATTTAAATCATATCAAAGACGGAGTACATCGAGATGAAATACTACACTTAGTAAGGAATTAAAAGCCAAATAAAATAAAAACATCTGCCCTGAAGATAAGGATAGTGCTGACAGATCAACTTCCAATTCATTGCGCTCCGCGGTGTTTCTACCCCCCTGCCGCAGAGCAGCGTGAAATTGATAAACAGATTTCAGATTTCAAAACATACTTTCGCTTTGTAGATCCTTTACATAATTAGGACACAATAACACGCCGAATAAATACTAATTCAGAAGTCAAACAACAAAAATCAGCGTTATATTTACCAAATTTTCACAGGACTAGTTTCGATGGTTTTACCGAACCACCATCTTCAGCTGCAAAACCGCAAATGAACCAGATAGGAAATAATGATTAGATAAGATAAGAAAGCCTGGACAAGAATAAGCAAGTGGCGCCATCTGTTGGCAAAACCAGAACTAAAACATAATTTCTCTAAAGCCGAAGGCAAATTTGGATTGGAATTAGGATCATTAACTAGAACAGAAAGATTTTTTATGAATGTGAAATGCCTCTAGAAAATCCAGTTCTCCAATGGAAGATGTTTTTTTGAATAATTTTTGGCAGCAGAAAATTGAAAGTGTGATTTTTGGACCAACAATGTTGAGCAAACAGAAGACTTCTGTGTTTCCTTTTTCTAACATATGCCTCATGTTCTTTGACTTTGACGCGAAATTTTAAGGCTCTCTTAGTTTGGCCAATGTAAATTAAACCGCACTGGCAAGGAATCCTATAAATACCCCAGGAATTCATATCCGGAATGGGGTCCTTGAGTATAGAAGTTGGAATTTTATTGATGGGAGAGTAAAACAACCCCGAAAGTTAAATTTCTGCAAAATATGTGCAACTTTATAGCTAATTGATGGAAAGAAGGGAATGACAAAACAGAATTTTTTATAATCTCCTAAAACAAGAGTGTGCCTTTTAGTGTGTTGAGATGAGAATTTTTTAACTGCTTGATTAATAATGTTGGGTGGAAAGCCCCAGTCAATAGCTATTGCTTTTAATAATTTAGTTCTTCATCAAGGGCTAGTTTGGAGGAGCAAACTTGAAGAGCACGGAAAACATAGGAATAAAATGAAGCTAACTTTTTGTTTAGTCGGATGACATGATTTAAAGTGTGGTGGAAGGCAAACCGATGAAGGTTTACGGTAAACCGTAGTACTGAAGTTGGATGTGTTACGTGTGACCAGAATGTCGAGAAACGGAAGAGAATTGCAATCTCAAGTTCAAAAGTGAACTGAATAGCAGGATCAATAGAATTCATTGTTGAAAGAACTTTTATTTAAATCATCTTTATTACCTTCAAACAGAGTAAAAGTATCGTCTACGTAGCGGAACCATGCGGGGAAGTTTAAAGTTTCAAACAATTTTGATTCATAATAATGCATGTAGATATCAGCCAGGATGGGACTGAGGGGCTTCCATGGCTAATCCCTCAGTTTGCTTGTATATTTATTTTGGAAAACAAATGTGTTTGTTTCAAACAGAGTTGAGTGAGAGAAATTAGCTCATCAATTTCGATTGCAAGAGAAATGAAATTCGCAAAGTCTGGTTTCTAGACATCTTAATGCACCCTCCACTGGGACATTGGTGAATAATTATTTTACATCAAAAGAAACCATGAGTAAATTACTAGGAGAAATGTTTTTAACTTTTTTTACAAACTCTATTGAATTTTTTATGGTGTAAATGTTATTGTCTAATAGAGTTGAAAATCTAGAAACTAAATATTTAGCTAATGGATATGAGGCAGTACCTAAATTTGATACAATAGGGCGGAAAGGAATACCACTTTTATGAATTTTGGGAAGAGCATATAATCTGGCACAATTCGCAACAGATAGGATAAGTGAATGTTTTAAGTTGCCTGAAATGATTTGCGAACATTTGATCGCAGTTTTTATTTTTGACAAGTCCGAAGGTGTAGGATCTTTAGGGATCGGATTATATGGTCCTTCGTTTAAGAGTTTAGTGACACCATCGATGTAAGTGTTCCTATCCATGACGACTATCTGGCCACCTTTGTCGGCCTTTGAAATAATAATATCCGGGTTAGAATGAATTTCAAGCAATGTAGCTCTTTCTCTCGCAGTTAGATTTGGTTTCAAAGGTTTATTATTGAATTTCACATTATGAGTGATAAGATGACTAATCATTTCTTTCTGTGAATCTGAAACTTTACTGAACTTCACACAAATTCAGATTTCAGATTCACAGAACTTCAGTTCTCTTCCGTTTTCTCGACATTCTGGTCACACGTAACACATCCAACTTCAGTACTACGGTTTACCGTAAACCTTCATCGGTTTGCCTTCCACCACACTTTAAATCATGTCATCCGACTAAACAAAAGTTAGCTTCATTTTATTCCTATGTTTTCCGTGCTCTTCAAGTTTGCTCCTCCAAACTAGCCCTTGATGAAGAACTAAATTATTTAAAAGCAATAGCTATTGACAGGGGCTTTCCACCCAACATTATTAATCAAGCAGTTTAAAAAATTCTCATCTCAACACACTAAAAGGCACACTCTTGTTTTAGGAGATTATAAAAATTCTGTTGTCATTCCCTTCTTTCCATCAATTAGCTATAAAGTTGCACATATTTTGCAGAAATTTAACTTTCGGGTTTTTTATTTCTCCCATCAATAAAATTCCGAGTTCCATACTCAAGGACCCCCATTCCGGATATGAATTCCTGGGTATTTATAGGATTCCTTGCCAGTGTGGTTTTTAATTTACATTGGCCAAACTAAGAGAGCCTTAAAATTTCGCGTCAAAGAACATGAGGCATATGTTTAGAAAAAGGGAAACACAGAAGTCTTCTGTTGCTCAACATTGTTGGTCCGAAAACCACACTTTCAGTTTTTTTCTGCTGCCAAAATTATTCAAAAAAACATCTTCCATTGGAGAACTGGATTTTCTAGAGGCATTTCACATTCATAAAAATCTTTCTGTTCTAGTTAACGATCCTAATTCCAATCCAAATTTGCCTTCGGCCTTTAAAGAAATTATGTTTTAGTTCTGGTTTCACCAACAGATGGCGCCACTTGCTTATTCTTGTCCAGGCTTTCTTATCTTATCTAATCATTATTTCCTATGTGGTTCATTTGCGGTTTTGCAGCTGAAGATGGTGGTTCGGTAAAACCATCGAACTAGTCCTGTGAAAATTTGGTAAATATAACACTGATTTTTGTTGTTTGACTTCTGAATTAGATCCTTTACATGGTAGTAAATATATATCGGAAATTCTATTTGACATAATCGAAAGTTCAAGCTTACTTTTGTAAAATTGCTCTAACAGTCTACAAAAAATACTAAGCCGCATCCATTTCGAAGATTAAGGAACAACATAATCTGCAACACTAACAGCTTAGCTTATACCGTCCGTTATACATTAAACGTGCATATGCATCAACGCGACGCATGCGCAGAAAGTTTGTAGCTTTGAGGTCCAGATTATGGGTGTCCGAATTAACGACTTTTGACTGTAAATACTTCTTGGTAACGTAGTGCATTTTCTCATAAATACTTTTTTGTAGCTTTTCGGTGGTTTGTGTGGATAGTAAAAAATTACCAAAATAATAAAACAGGAAAGTGCTTAATGCAGTGTACTGAACATGCAGTTAAGCGAACATGAATGCATGTAATTATATGTATGAATGTATACAATTAAAAGTGTTTTAATTAAAACTGCATTCTGCACACATTTATTTATTTAATACTCCTGTAGTGTATGTTCTTTGAAATTATTTTTTTGGAAAACATTAAAAAAATTTTAACAGGTTCTAGTTCAAAGGGGCTTTGTCTCTGAAGGACTATTGTTTTTGTTTTGCGATTTTGCGTTGATTCACTAAAAACGGCGAATCACTTTTCAGACTGTTGCCAGAAAGTATTATCACCCTGTGTTAAATGTAAGGAAATTAAATAATGAAAAATCTGCACAAATGTATGTTTATTTCTCGCATTGTGATAAAACAACGTTACATAGAGCCATCAAATTCTGAATGACAGAATCCTTCTATGAATATGGGCATGTGGAAGACCAAATTTGAAATTTGAAATTTATTTTATTATCAATTTCCTATTTTGTAAAACTTTGAAGAATTTTTGATTAACAAACTCAAGGATTTCAAAGCGAGCAATGGCAACATTGTACATAAAAAACTTTTTTATCTCCAGCGCATGAGACTCTGTATTAGAAATTGTAAAGATATGCTCGTTTTGAAACTATTTTGCAATATTGCTGAACTGAATTTTATGGTTTAAGAGCAAAGAATGTTATAAATAAATGTAGCATACAAAATGTTAAAAAAATGCTCGTTTGGACGTAATTTAAAATCTGAAACATTTCAGATTTTCTTTTTTTTTTCTTTTTTTTCTTTTTGTTTGTTTTTTTTTTTTTTTCTTTTTCTCTCTTTCTTTCTTTCTTTTTTTTTTCTTTTTTCTTTTTTTTCTTTTTTCTTTTTTTTTTTAATATTAAGCTTTTAGTCATAAATAATTGCATGGTTTTAAAGGCATTTGCTTATTCATAGGAAAAGAGTGTGATTCATATGAAGAATAAATGTGTTGGTAGGTGCACTTTGATGGAAACAAGCTACTTTTATTCAAAGGTATGCTCACATAATATCTGAAACTAATGTGTACTAAGCAGAACTAATAACTAGAAAGTGGACTGTATTATTATGAAATTATGTTAATAAATCCTAATTGTTGGTTTTTGTGCTGCTTATTGTTAAATATTTCTAATAATAATAATAATAATAAACACAGAAGAGAAACATATCAAAGAGAAACATAAAATTAGCAAAGCAACAACCTTGTAGAATAGAAGAGAATGTGACAATCAAAATCGCAATAACAACCTTGTATTTCGCGTACATTTATTAAAATACTCAATCGATTTCGAGGGCAGCTGCAGGTCCCTCCTCATCAGGAGAACAAAATTACTAGAAAGGGAAAGCAACCTCTGTAACGGCTTTTTATACCCTTCGGTAGTACCATGCGCAAGGAGGCATGCCAATAGATGGCGTTTGATCAACAACCTTGTGTTTCGCGTAGATTTAGTCAAGAACTCAATTGATTTTGAGGGCATGAAATTGATTGAGTTCTTGACTGTCTTGTAGATTCATTGCTATTGGTGAAGAGGGACCTGCGCCTATTTGCCTTTAAAACTAATTGAGTTCTTGACTAAATCTATGCCAAAATGTTGCTGTTTTGTTAATTGTATATTTACCAAAATGTTGTTGCTTTGCCAATTCTATATTTCAAATAATTTTGGAGATATCGCATCTTGTGGCTTAAATACTCTTGCTTGAGAAGGGAAAAAAAAAAAAAAAAAAAAACATATCTGCTTCTTTTAGTATACAAGCATGCCATAATAATTTTCCTAAGTATGAATATGTAAGTTTTGCAGTTATTAAATTTATTGATCTAGAATTTTCAAGCTTTTTTCATATTTTAATTTCTTTTGTGGTTTTAAATATGAGACGTGAGATCCTGATTTCTTCTGAGATTATGAACAGATTCTTTTAATCTTCTCAGAGACTATTAGCATTACCTTCGAAAACAGCTCAGGTTAATCTTTGGATTATGGTAACTTGGAGAAAATTTGGCGACCAACCATCCTACAGCACTAGCAATCTGCTAGTTTTTGTTTGGACGCCATTTTGTTTTCACGAAGTAAAGGCATGTTTTTTTTTTTTTACTCAACAGTTTTTTCCAACAATCTGCTAGCCGAATTACGCTTATGCTAGAACTTTTATGGAACAAAAGGGCTTAATCATGACGAAGATTAGGTGCGAAATTGGGAGAAAGTGCCCACTGCTTGCCGCATTTTTAAGAATTGCACATACACGGTATCATCCATGTACATGTTGACCTATTTTCACTTAAAAAAGTATTCCAGAATTGCACAAAAATGGCATTGCGCTCACTCTTGTCTTTATCCATGTACGCTGCTAAAGTCCTAGCTAGTAACCTTTATTGCCTTACCAAAATGTCGCCAAACTACCTGTTACCATATTCCAAAAATTAGCCACAGCTCATTGATAGTAAGCTGTGATTTGCTTGGAACTTATATATTGAATAAGAGTTGATACACAACTTTTCTGTCAGTTCAAAAACAGTATTGGATTGACAGCAAGCTGCATTTGGAGAGTGTAAGAAAAACTAAAAAATATTTATGCATTAAAATTATACGTATGAATGGTAATTTTGCAATTTAATAATAAATTAATACAAAAATATGACAAAAAAGTAGGTTAAATTTAATAAATATAGAACTTTATGCTACTGCACTTTTGCTAGAACTTGGTCCAATTTTTTCAGTGTCATAAATCATGTTATTATTTTGCAACTGAAGTTAGCTTCCAGATTTTATTATCAATAGTACTGTAACTGTAACTAATAAGTAACTGATGATGCCATGAATTCTTTTTAATATATTAGTGTTCATTATCATTAAAAGCATGCAAGCAAGTAGTCCAAAGGAGAAGTTTCTTAAAGATAGATAAAATTATTGAATATTTATAATTTTGCTCTCAAGATAAAATCACTGAATTTTCCTATAATGAACACTAATAAATTAAAAAGAATTAATTTTGCTCTCATTTTGGCTTTAGCTCAATAAGATAAATATAAAGCAGTTTTATTTAGTATTATTTGTAAATTAAATAATTGTTAAAATTCTGTATTATGAATTAATATGTATAAATATGTCACTAAATTTTTCACACTTTTTTAAACTCATTTAGACAGGCAGCTAAGCTCTGGCATTGTGGTATATTGAGCCTAGAAGTGACACAATGGTACAGTTAACTACCAAAGAACATGATTAAATTTATTCTGTATTGTTTAAAACTGGGGGGAAAAAGAAAGAGAGAGAGGGGGGGATTCCATTTCAAGTGTGAAAATAAGAAAAAAGTTAAGCTTTAATTTTTTTTGTTACATATAAAACCGAAAATTTAAATTTTTTTTGGAATTCATATTGGTAAACATTTTTAAGAATCCTATATTGCATTATTAAAATTAATTTTTAATTAGTTTTGAAAAACTGTGTTGTCTTAAATTTTTAGTATCAAAATAAAAGAAAAATAAAACAAAAAAAAATTGCAATACATCACTTTTTTGAATTAACTTTATGATACAATTCCGTTTTGAGGACCGTAAAAATTCGCCAAACTATTATTTATCCCAAGGCTGCCAAAAATAATTACGGCAACCCTAATGCAAGAAAGGAAGCATAATACTAAATAGCTAAGATTATTGTTTTAATTTAGATGAAAGGTTAATTTCACATCATACAATTTTTTATTATTATAATTTATATAAAAAAAGGCTAATATAACTTAATGGAAGCATAATAGTAAATACCTATTTCAGATTATTATTTTAATTTAGATGAAAAGATTAATTTCATATAATACAATTTTTTATTACTTAATTTATGAAAAAAAAAAAAAAAAAAGGCTAAACATATTTGAAATTAAACGGGTGGCATAAAATTTTTTATGTCTTCCAACATAGCAGAAAAAATTTAAGTTTCTTTGTGCAAATGTCTGTACATAAACTTGGAGAAGTAATAATCGAAATGCTGTCGAGCAGTGCCTAGATGGCCTTTATTAAGCCATTTAGCACTGCTCCACAGCCGCTCTACCGTTCGTGTATAACACCCACTTTCCGGGTCCACAAAATTGTAGTTGTAGTTGACAGTAAAGTGTTCAAAACCGTCATCTTGCAGTTCATCTGACTTGTATGATTTCCAGCACTCAGTATAAATAAAGCTTTCTTCTGCGATATTTTCCTTTATGATGTTCAATAAGGTTTTCACCAATCAATCTGGAACAGCGACTAAGAAACATTCATTTGATTCTCTGCATAATGCGTGGAAAACCCATTGTGACAGAAGAACATGTTCAACATTATTCTTTCTTTTGGCTGAAAAGGCTTTCGTCTACTTCAATAATTTTGCCACATCCGCCGATTTTCAACTTAGGCTGAGCAATCAAAGCTGCGGCACACATTTCACGTATGTAACTGTTCCAGTCTACAACTGTATTGTGGTTCATCTTGAGCTGGAATTCACAAAATTCAACAGATGTCATTTCCTGACACCGAAAACAGATGAACCTAACAACTGTAAGGAAGGTTATTTTTGGTCCTTCAAACCAATTTTGACTTCTTAATTCTTTCTTCTCATTACAGGTTTTTTTCCTGCACCACCATTTCACTACGGAGTTAGTTCAAACATAGTTTTCTATCATGAATGATGCCTTTTTTTTTTTCAAAAAATTCTATTTCAGACTTTTTGCCATTGGGCAATTCCGAAATTATAAAATCCATAGTGTTATCAAAAAGAGAATTAAAAAATTAAACTAGTATTTCAATGGTGATTTGCAAATATAGAATTATCTAAACGTACTCAATTTGAAATCAGATTTGGCATGCTGTTTAATGGGGCGAGTTTGCTAGATTTGGCGTTTTTCCACATGCATTTTCGTTGCAATTTTTTTACGGTCCCCAAAATGGAATTGTACCAAGTTTACAATACCACATCATCTAATCCTCATCACTGGAGTCGTATAGGAACATTGTGATTCTAGTATATTTTCCTGTAGGAGGCCAAATATCCACAATGTTCACTTTGTCTTCATCTGAACATCTAGCGGTGCTATATGACGGTTCATTTCTGTGTTGCAATTTCTGTAAATAATTTTTATGTTGCTTAATACTTGAGTTGTGCTGCATGTGTTGTTTTGTGTACCTTGCAAGGAACCCTTTTTGTTAAGAACATCTCCAATTTGTTTGCCAAATGTAATGCGTAATGTATATCATGAACAGAAAAATTTGGGTTAGATACATTTTCATAATTTTCTTTATCCTCTTTAGTCACTGAATTTATATTGGATTCTTCTAGAAGCCTTGCAAGATCTTCTTTATCCAATGATTTTGCTGAATATAGTTCAACATCTTCAGCAGACGCATCTTCAAACCCTGTACCACGCAGCAAACATGCAACATTACCTATCTGATTGTATTTGGTGTGCTTACATGAAATATTTGAGTCTTCATAAACCATATCTGGTAAAAGAGCTTTCCAACCTGCTTTCACTGTCAAAGCATCAAGATCACTTCTAGGTGAAGATACAGTATTTAATGCAATTTAAGATTGAAAATTCTTTCCAAACTTGCATAAGTGTCTTATTTTCTGCAGCTTCTAAATTATCCAAAATACAATGAAAAGACATTTGTATGTAATATGCCTTAAATGTTGATAATTACACCTTGATCCAGTAGCTAGATTAGTGATGTAGTATTTGGTAAAGAAATATTATCTTTATATTTGGATGTTCTAACTCCTTTGGATGTCCAGAATCATTGTCTAGTAATAGTAATACTTTGAAGCTTAAATTTTTCTTTTTTAAATATCTTTCTATGTTAAAGTGTTGCAAAACCAATCTGCAAACATAGATGAAGTCATCCAAGCTCTATTGTTGGCTTGCCAATAAACTGGTAGCGGCTCTTTAACTACTTTTTTCAATGAGCGAGGATTCATTAGTTATAAATAATGGTTTCATACAACAGTCTCCTTATGCATTAGCCCACCAGCGGC